CTATAACGGAGTGACATCGGATCGACAAGTTCGGGCGAACTTTCTTCTCTTCCTATCGCGACGCTGCGTTACCCTTCGGGTAGAAATTAATCGAGGCGTTCCCTAAATTTATAGTGGCCTTGGATAGGCATGCCCCAAAATTGGCTATGTTCGTCGCATAGACATGGCCCAGAAAAACAAATCCTGAGTGGATGTCTTTAACAAGACCTATGGCTTATAAAGCCTAATCAGGGCTTAATCAGGCCTAGATAAATTTATAAAACATTCTAAATTGTACAAGCGTTACATTAAACCCGAACCCGGAGCGATTGAATGAAACGAGAGACTCGTCGACTCGATCGCGGACGGGATTTACGTGACGCAGAGATGTGCGAATTCGAATCGAATCACTGTTGATTCGAATTCATTTTGGAATCTAAAAGATTCGAATTCGAATAGTTCAGTAATTTCGGATCATGCGTGAGATATAATTGCGTACACACGTATGTATCTATCAGCTTATAAGCTCTGCACACTCCTTGTTTGATATTCATTATAAATTTTCTAGCACAGCGCTTAGCACAGCATTTTCCTTGCGGTTGGCGCGAAGATCAAAATTACGCAGTGATTAATATTTTTACCATTAAAAAAAAAAGGTTTTTAATGTCGCTGAAAGTATTTTATCACATTCAGATTAGCGTGTAATGTAAATCCCGGAGAATCTGATTCGATGCGTATACGAAATGAAGAGATTTGATTCAATTCGACGTGAAAATTAAATTCGATTCGACCACGCAGCTGCTTAATTCGCACATCTGTAAAGTGACGGAAAAATCGGCACGAAGCCGAAGAGAGGCGCGCGCGCGTTCCGAATAATTATTTCCCGTCGGGATTCGCGTGCGAAAATGCATTTCGACATGAAACAATGTGAGCAATCGATTCAAAAATGTGGCGGAAACGTATAATCGTGGCTCGAGGACGCAAGATTCGCGGTCGGAACGCGCCCGCTCTTGACGTCCGGATTCGTGCGCGGGCAGCGCGTAAGGCCGCCGGGACGCCGTCACGTGAACGCTATATAACATCACGACCGCGACACGTAGAAGAGAATTTATTGATTCGCGCGAAATTTATCTCACGTGACGTGATACCGACGAAAAATATACAAGCAGTCGCCGGCTCACGCCTCGCGGAATGCCGTGCGGAAAGAACGGAGCGATTTATGCGGCCGTCCGACATACACGAACCACCCCTTCAACTCATCCTGAAAATTTCCCCATCAAACTCGGTTGTTCGTCCTGGATGCGCCATTTTTTACGAGAATTTCGCTATTTTTCAGGCGATCATTGTACACGTTAGGCTTGCTGCAATTCGCTTAGAGGCGCGAACCCCTCGATGGGGTGGGACGATGAAGTTTATAATGAAATTATCGGGAGGCGCGCGCGCACAGTGTGTGTCGGCTCGACGAAGTAACTTCGTTCCTTCCGCTCTGTTTTTCCCCCGTTTTTGCGAAGATGTTTTTCGACGATTCCACGGACCGAATCTCATCGGCACGCGCGTGCGGAGACCGAAATATTCCCAACGGTTGTTCGTGTTAAGGGAGTCGTCGTGTTTTACCGCGTATTTTTTAGTACTATGCTCGTCAAAGAAAGAAAAGAGAAAGTTAACGAATTATATAACTTTTTTCGTTTTTCAAATAAAGTCAACCGTCGTCGTTTACATTAACGTGTATATTATAACTCTTCGAAAGATTTTTTAATTCTGTGTAGCCAGTGGCAAGTATAGTACTAAAAAAAATTTGCAATAAAACAGGACGAGTCGAGGATCCCCTTAAGGTCGTTCCACATTAGTCGCAGGTCGATTACAAATGTATGCAACGCTTACGACAGCTAATCAGAAGCATCAATGATGCTATTGATGCTTTTGACTGGCTGCCGTGACAAGCGTTGCGTACGCTTACAATCGACTTGCGACTAATGTAGAACGAATCTTTAAGCGATGTAAGATCCACGATCGATAATACTAAAACGACATCTGTCGATTGTGTCGACCGTTTCTAGTAATTGCTCGCGGTGGGAATACGATAGAGACGAAAATAAAAACGGACAACTGGCATGGTTCGAGAAGAGTCAGGCGTGAGATATATTATTGAAGCTGAGTTACCTCTAATCTAATTTAAACTCTAATCTAATCTAATCTAAAGGTATCTTGAAGAAAAATTGAAAATTCCGGGAAGTAGCCGCTCACGAAGGGATCTAAAGAAATTGAAAATTGCAGAAGGAATTTCGAGGGACTGTAGATTCCTATAAACTCTCCATCGTAATTTAAAGTACCGATAAAAGCGTTAAATACTACTATTTCACGAAACATTCCTTTCTTTTATTATTGATCGATACATCAAGGACAAAGCGATCGTTTGAAATCAAAACGGTTACTCGGGTTCCGGAAAAATCTTACAGCGGTGCGTTAAGCCTTAAGCCGTAAGAAATTGACTGATCGCAATCGATTATTCTTCTCACATTCAGCCACGAGATTGGTCAATTTCTTACAGCTTATAAAGCTTACCGTACTTATTGTAGACCGAAAGGAAAGTCGCGCAGCGGGAGCTCGCCGCGCGCATCCGCCGGAGACTCGGCGGCCTCCCAGTCGCGTGATGATTAATAAGTTTCGCGCGTTAACCATTACGAAGTTTCAATGTTACGTGGGCGATTTCTTGGAAGGTAAGGCGCGACGTTGCGTGCGGGAAGGATTCGTGTGTACGATGTGTATGTGTGTGTTCGAGCGCGAACAACGCCTGACTGCGCGCCGCCGTCTCTCGTGTTAATCCACCACGTTTGTTATTCGCTGCGTTTATTAATAACTGTGCGCCCGAATTTAGGTAATTAGTCGTGCCTCTGCACGATAAATGGAGCGCGATAATATCTATCTGGAGGCGACCGACGGTCTCTCTCTCTCTCTCTCTCTCTTAATTGTGGGCAAGTTGTTGTTATGGGCAAACTACTGCATTATGTTCACCTTATAAATTATTCACTACTAATTATTGCATGGTATCTTTAATTCTTTTTCATTATTAGAGAACTCATTATGCAGTGTCGCTACATTTTTATAACTAACGTTCTAAATGATAAATATTTCATAATTGCAAATCTAGAATCGATTGAACAACACTGACGAATGTAGTGTAAAACGTAAATGGGGACCATTTTCTTCTCTATTGTTTCTCTTTTTTTTTTTTGCATTTAGTTGGGCTTGAAGGAATTTTTCCCAGAACGTGGAACAAATAAATCTATTTATCTGTCTCCCTTGCTCCCCTGTTTGCCGGAGAATAGGAGATCCTCGGGCGAAATGGAGAACGTTCCTTTGCTGAATCGAAATAAGCTTGCCAAGTCGAATTCGCACGACAACGACGACGACGATAACGTCACGTTGGTTGTATCACGAAAGTTCCCCGCGATCGCTTTAATCAAACGCGACTCGATAGCGGCACGCCGCGGCTGCTTCGGCGGTAACCCGCACACGACGACGCTTATCCGGCTGATATCCCGAGATTGCGGTGCAGCAATTCTCTTCTCGCAGTTTACCCGGCGACATTAACATGCCACTGCGATGAATTTTTCCGTATTTCACGCCTCGCGCGATCCGCCAGACGAGAGAGACGAGGGCTCTTGCTCTTCGTTATCGCGGCCCTTTTCGGAATTAAGTGAATCAACATTTGCCTTGTAAGCGAGCACGTGTAATAATGAAGTTGACAGTTCCTCCTCTCGCGCTTTAAATTAGCCGGTGCGGGAAGACGAAGAAAAGCAAAGAGAGAGTGAAGATGGTGAGGGAGAACACGGGACAAGACAGGGATGATTAAGTACCCGACGATTTTCGACACGACGAGCGGTTAATAGAATAGAAAAACTGCTTGGGGGGTGCGATGTTTTCCCAGATTTCCACCGATAATTGCGTAAGAGTGAGCGATCTGAAAGCGAGATTACGCTTTCGATCCGCTTCACATCGCAATTGTCGCCGTCCCCCGTCCGTGAAACACTCGACTTTTCTAAGACCACGCTTCCGCCGAGAGAGAGAGAGAGAGAGAGAGAGGCAAGGCTGGATCTTTCTTTAACTGCGCGATATCGGAAAAAGGCGTTCCAACAGCCCGGAAAGCACGAGTCCGGGAAAATGCGGAATCGCACACTTTACTCGTTATCGCTCGATGCTGTGTGTCGCTTGACCATTTCCTCGCTCCACCACGGAGCTATACGGTGCATATCGTTAGAGACTCTCCTTCATCGGCGACGTTTTCAGCGCTCGGAGCGTGACAAAATCGCGAGTGCGCGCGTGCCGAGTTGTCGCGTACACGAGAATGGAAAAATTTCCCGTTCGCTCGCGGAAAACTCACTCTCGTGCAGAAAATAACACTGCCTACGTGCAGCCGAATATGTGTGCCGCAATTTGCGACACACGGTAATTTATAATACGCCGCCACCATCATCATCGTCGTCGTCGTCGTTGTCATGGAGGAAGAGAAATCGCGTAGCCGCGCGAAGTAACTTGATATCGCGATGCTCATCAGCGACATTAATAATTTCTATCTATTATCCTCCGAGCAGCCCGTTACAACGTCTAGTTCCCATGAATCATTTCGATGATCGTTTAACGCCGCGCTGCGGCATTTATTATCCGAGCGGGTGGAGCGGTGGTGAATTGTCACCGTCAGCGAGTCTTCAAGCGAGCCTTTATAAATTGCAATCGGGAAAAATTGTTCATTAAACGGCGACGTTAAGATAACGCGGGTGAATGGCGGTTTTCCCATATAGCGACGCATAAAACAAAGAGATGTTACACGAACAGATGCTGAAGCGTATCGGTCGATTCGTATCTCACCCCAGTGAACATCAAGTAACAGTAACATTACGATAAAGTTATAACAAGCGTGGAAGCGGCTTAACTGTCACAAATCGTAAGGAAAGTGAGTTTCATTCTTGAAACTTTCCATTTTCTTCGAATCTCTTATTTTGTCTTTAAAGAAACTAGTGTTGTTAAACATAATTTTTTATGATCAAAAGGATTTTTTTTTAAGATTCAAATCGAGTAAGAAAAGGATGAGAAAAGTGAGTCTTTTTCTTAAAACCGAGGAAAATGAGGAAAGCGAGGAAAATGTTTCTAAACGAGTGAGGCAAAGTGAGAACTATAAACCACTCCCACGCTTGTTATAATTTCCCATTCAACAATGTAACTGTTATACGGAGCACGTTGTATTGTACATTTATTGAGTGAAAATCATAACATTGATGCAATATTACTGTTACTTGAAGTTTATATCCGAGCACCTGAGGAGAAATGTGTTTATCCTTTATTTATGCAGAACCTCTCTCTCTCTTCCTCTTAATTTTGTTAGTAGGGGATGTGTTTTGCAATAAAGCAGGCAAATGCAATTCTCTATATAACAGCGAGGATGATCATTGGTGAAGAGGCGAACGAGGCGGCGAGACGTCTCTCACGGAAATGTGACGTCGTCGCGAAACATTTCGGGGTCCTGGTGACCCGATCGATCAGTCCTCAGGAAATTACTTGTGGATTCGCGTTCGCGAGTGGCTCACTTACGGAGAAATTGCGGACTCCTTGAAACTTTTAAATCGCCTTCACGTGCGCGCACGCATACACACACACACACACGCGTGTCTCTTTAGGTGGCGCAATACAGTCTGGTTGAACCTAACTTTTTCCTCATCAGGAAGTAAGGGGCACGACGACGCCAAGTTCGGTTGAAATAAGCGAATTGAATCGGCGAGTACATTTCCGCGGAGAAACGGAGCTCGCATTAATATTCGTTCCAGACGACGTTCCACCGCGCTTGTCGTTCACGAATCGTGTCCCCCCTTCCCCCGAAACGCGCGATGAGGGCGACCGCGAAATGTCGTGCGGGACTCGTTGTCGAGCTCGCTCTCGAACGTTCTTTTGAAAGGAACGTCGCTCGTGAGTCGCACAAACGTTTCCCTGTGTTTCCTCGCACACTCATCGGATCGGTTCTCGCGTGTTTAAAAAAAAAGAAAAGAAAAAAAGAACCGAGAGACCGAAACTACCTCGATATCAGAGGGTCGAATGGCGGATTATCATAGATGGCGGATACACCGGTTAGAAGAGAAAGGAACGTGGCAAGAGCCGACTCACCGTTGATTGACGATGGCGAGGTTGCGCGCGATGATAAACGACTTGGCTTTGCAGAGGACAGTCCGGACGACATGAACTCGAGCGGCGAGTCCAGCGGTACTATGTCGGAGGACTACGAGGTGGGCGGCTGCGGTGTCCCGGAAGAGGAGACCGGCTCGAACCTGCCGACGTGGGAGGCGGCGGCGGCCTTGTTGACCTTGGGCTTCCTCGTGCTGGCGACGGTGTTCGGCAACGCGCTGGTGATCCTGAGCGTCTTCACGTACCGGCCGCTCCGCATCGTGCAGAACTTCTTCATCGTCTCGCTGGCGGTGGCGGACCTCGCGGTGGCGCTCCTCGTGATGCCGTTCAACGTAGCCTACCTCCTGCTGGGCAAATGGATCTTCGGCATCCACCTGTGCAAGCTCTGGCTTACGTGCGACGTGCTCTGCTGCACCGCCAGCATCCTGAATCTGTGCGCGATCGCGCTGGACCGCTATTGGGCGATCACCGATCCCATCAACTACGCGCAGAAGCGCACCCTGAAGCGCGTGCTGGCGACGATCGCCGGCGTGTGGATCCTCTCGGGCGCGATCAGCTCGCCGCCGTTGGCCGGATGGAACGACTGGCCGGAGGAACTGGAGCCGGGCACGCCGTGCCAGCTCACCAGGCGCCAGGGATACGTCATCTATTCGTCCCTGGGTTCGTTCTTCATACCGCTGCTGCTGATGAGCCTGGTCTACCTGGAGATCTTCCTGGCGACCCGTAGGAGACTGCGCGAGCGGGCGCGGCAGAGCAGACTCGGGCCGGTGCAGTCGACCAGGCATCGCGAGACCGACGACGCCGAGGAGTCCGTGAGCTCGGAGACGAATCACAACGAGCGCTCGACGCCGCGTCTGCAGGCGAAGCCGTCGCTGATCGACGACGAGCCGACCGAGGTGACGATAGGCGGCAACACCGGGGTCACCGCCGCCAGACGTGGCGGTAACGCCGGCGTCGCCGCCGCCACCTCGACCGTCTACCAGTTCATCGAGGAGCGGCAGAGGATCTCGCTGTCCAAAGAGAGGCGGGCCGCGAGGACCCTCGGCGTCATCATGGGCGTATTCGTCGTCTGCTGGCTGCCGTTCTTCCTCATGTACGTCATCGTGCCGTTCTGCCCGGCGTGCTGTCCGTCGGACCGGATGGTCTACTTCATCACGTGGCTCGGTTACGTCAACAGCGCTCTCAATCCCCTCATCTACACGATCTTCAACCTCGACTACAGAAGGGCGTTCAGGCGGCTGCTGCGGATCCGCTGAGGGTCCACGGAGAGGGAGACAGAGCGACTACCGTTTCTCGGAGCTGCTCTTCCTCAACGCGAGGCTCCTCCGGCGCGGCTCGAGCGTAAGTGGTCGTTTCGACGTCGCGTCCTTCTCCTCGCCGAGCAGCGGGAGCGACAGCGGAAACAGCAGCAGCAATAGCGGCAGCGACGGAGTCGATCGCGATCGGCTCTTTCTCCGCCCGGCTGGCACCGCCGCCCCCGTCGTATCTTCTATCCTACTCGCGGGATCTCCCGGCGGGGGGAGGTTGTTAAATAAGTTCTTCGTCCAGGGAAAAGCGCGTCGCGCTCGTCTTCGCTCGGCGCCCAATGTGTCGCGCAATTAACGGCAATTCCGGCGCTTCCCCTCGCTTCCTCCGATCGTTCTCGCTCGTTCTTTCCCGCGGCTCTCGTTGCCGTCCCTCAACGGCGGAGTCCTTAATGCGGACGTGGCACGAAGACGACGGGTTACGGCGAGCCGAACGACGGCGGGAAACGGAGCGAAGGAGTGGCGGCGAGTAACTTCGGATCTCGTAAATTGGCGAAATCTATTATCGTCTCAACGGCGAGAGTCACTGCCGCCGATCTCGCGAGACACCGCTCTTTCTTTCTCTCTCTCTCTCTCTCTTTCGTCCGGTCCGCCGCGTCAATAATTTATTTTCGACTGCGCGTTTTAATTAAGATATCGCGAAGCCGCTTGAGGAGCGCGAGTAATTACATTTGTCCGACGGGCAACAACGCGCTCGTAATTTCTTTCATCGGAGAAAAAGTAGAGTAATAACGCGCCGTTGCCGCGTTACGAGCGCACGATTCTATGGGCAAGTGTGCGCGCGTACTCGATTGAGACAAGATAAATCTCCGGGTTTTGACGGAAGTAACAACAGAGGAGAATTCCGGATCCTCGTCCGCACGCCGGGAAATTTTTTTCCGAATTAACAGGATCGCGACCCGCGCAAGGGGAGACGGTAAAAAAGGAGTGCGCGAATTTGGAATCACGCGATTCCCCGCGAAACCAGTTTCCTCTCTGCGCACAGAAGGTCACGCGGTGGCTCCTATTGTCGGCTGTCTTCGACCGTTGATTAGCTCATTGTCGGTAGAACCGAAGAACGGAAACTGTTTTTCTCCACACTTTTCCGTTCCTTCTTCTGACATCGGCACGTCGCACGATGGAAATCTCGACAATCTCCTCTCGGTTGATATAACGAATCGCCATGACTTGAACGTGAGAAGAATGAGACATGCGCTTATCGCCGGAATTTTCGCGAAAATTTATTAAGGATCCCGGGAAGATGCCCGCGAAAGTGGATGCGGTCTCATCCGAGAGAGAGAGAGAGAGATGCACGAAGCGTGCCAAGCGCGCGCGATCAAGATTGGCAGCCGGAGTTGGCGCTAATCCGCCCTTTCCCCTGAAAAGCTTTAAAGGGCGTAAGTTGAAGGGGAAACTTTCCGGAGGAGTGATAAAGGAAATTGTGCTTTCCCGCGTTGGAAGCGGCGACTACCATCTTCCGACCGAATACTACTGCGCGAGGCTGCATCAGCTCCGCGTCAATCAAATTTCTCTCTTTCTCTCCTCTGCCTATGGTTCCTCCGAGATTAATCTCGCGGAAAGTGATTAACGATCGAATTTAGCGACTCGAGAGCCTGTAAATAGGATTTATCGCGATCAGCGTGAGTGATCCGCGCGTACCCGCGTACAACGCTCGCGGGTCGTGGTGGAAATCAAATTCGTCTTTGGCGCGGAAATACTCTCTTTCTCCCTCTCTCTTTTTTCCGTCTCTCGTGAAACGTTTTCATCAAAATCTTATTTTTATATATAATCCAGAAGATATTAAGAATATAAATTAAAAATAGCAAGCTAATCTCAAGAAACGCGTGTAAAAAGTGTTAATTTTAATTGAAATTTCTTAGCTCTCGAATGATCTATCTCTTCCTAGTTGCGGGAACAGTTGGATAATATTTTAATCTGTATACGTAAGTGCAAGTTTCATCGAATTCTTATCAAACTCATATTTCGCCTCGTAGCTTCTTCAATCCGCGGAACACAGTTTTCATCCCTCGCGCGCGACATTCGACACTTCGTCGTGAACTTGCCGCTTTCGAATGGGGTGCACGGCTCGCCAAGGAAACACAAACAAAGAGAGAGAGAGAGAGAGAGAGAGTTGGGGATCTTTGTGAGAGCCGACACGTGCGATTTGAAAGACCGGGGTCAACCGGCGAACGAATGCGTCGGGCGAACGCGGGGACGTGCTTTTCTCACCAACGACAACGGAGAAATAATCGTGCGTACACGTTTAGTCATAGGTGAAAACCCGTACAGTAGAAACGTATCTGCCGATCGTATCAGTCGATCTCGCAAGTATTACGGTTGTGAATAATTACTGATCCAGAGAGAATCTCGCGGAGCGTGCAGCGTCGCTAAGGAAGCGGCGTGGTTCGCCACCGTCGAAGCGGTGCGTCGCCATCAGGCGGCGCGATGTTTATAAATAATTTATAAATAACGCCGATTCGCGAGACCCGCTGTGGTGATGTCGCGCGCCCGGTAGCGACCGCGCATTGTATAAAGTCACACACTTTAAATCGCCTCCCGATGTATTCACGTTGACACGCGATTATACACTGTCACACGCATACACATGCATATGTACAAACACGGTGGCACACCTCTGCACAACGTCCCGACGCTATGTACTTTAACGACGAGTCCTTCGGTTTATATTCGCGCTTTTTCCAAGTCGCTTTTTTCCCCACGTCCGGCCCAGTTAGATTGTTCGTTCGGCGTCGGGACTTCTTAAATATTCGACGCGCAAAGTGTATCTCGGCGGCCGCATCTCGCGCGCTTCGTCGTTCTCCTCGCGACGGAGAAGCGCGCGAAATTAACGGAATCAGATTTTTCAGTTTGTTCGCATTTACATCCTCGTGGTTTGGGACTTTCGTGATACCGGTGTTTCTTGCAGCGACCTCAAGAGAGAAACAGACTGTATGTGTGTGTGTGTGTTTGCAGGCGTTTGTATGAAACTACCTTCCGAAGTGATATTCCCCCCGGATCGAAAGTGCTTCTCGATTGTCTTCGTCGGAACTTCTCCTCTCTGGCCATTAAGAGCAGCTTTTCGAGAGTGAATCTCACGAGTGGACACTTATTCTCGGTGTTACTACGCTCAATGGAAATACGTATCGATGGCGCCGAGACATTATGTAGACGTGTTACACGCACACATGCATTCACACACACACATATTTACTTATACGCTAACGTGACACAGATATACATACACAAATATACATACACATGTATACATACGCGAAATACTCTTTATATGACCAGAATACAATTTAAAGTATCTTTAACGATAAACAAATAAATAAATAAATAAAAGAGGGAACAGGCGGCGGGAAGCCGCCATCTCCTCGAGTGCCGCGCCAAACGATGGATTAAGGTGAACCGGTAGGATTATAATAAAATGAAAGAGGCAAGAAATAGATCGCGGACGGACGTACGCGACCCCGGTGTAGCCTCGACCTCGTCACCAGGGCACTCTATAATAAGGTTGTGATAAGGTTGTGAGAAACACGTTCGTAGCCGTGCTACGGACGACATAAGATTTTTAATTACTAGAATAGGGAACATTTCTTTACTCGAGACACTAACTCTATACGATGCAGCGTTGCCTCCTACCCAAGGGAGAAGGAAGGAACGAGAGAGCCAACACCAACCCACCATCACGAAACCTGATCACGCTTTTTAGACGAGTATCGAACCTCCTTTTTCCTTTCCTTCTCATTGTTCTACTTTTTCAAGAACGTCCTGTAAAACGCTACAAGCAGTTCCGAACTTGCACGGCTGATAGTGTCGGATTACATCTTCGCCTGAGCCGTCGTGTAAATCCCATTTACATAAAAACGTAACTTCTTCGTCTCCACCACCACCTCGGAGGTGCCATCCGGTGCCGCTCGGCTTCCGCCGGGCCGCCCCGTTTTTATCATTCATTCGGAACTTAAGCGACAGCTCGCGAGAATTCGCTAAACGTACGAATCTACCGTTATTATCATGGAAATTCAATCTATATATCCCTCTCGCTCTCTCTTCCTCCCTCTTTGGTGTCCTTTTACGAGCGCCGTACGTGTGTACACATGCAAGGCGTGGAGGAACTTTGATCAACGTGGGCGATTCAACTTTATCGGTGCTCCCGTCGCGAACGTCGTATTCGCGGCGGTATTTCGACGGAACGTTAATCTCGGTCGCGACGTGTCCCCTTTCTTTCTGATATGAAGCGCAGCTTATCTCCTTATTTCGCCGCGCTCCGGAATTTCGCACTTCGTGTTACTTTCGCGGGGATATTAATAAGTGCCAAAATAACGTTGTACTTATATCGCGCTTCGGGCGAACACTCGGAACGGCTTGCCTCGAATATTATTTCCCTCTTCTCCATTGGTATCGCTTATCGTTATTATCGCATCATCGTCCCTCTCCTCTCGCTCGTTACCCCCGTTGTTGCGCAAAAAACAAGGCGTTGGACCTTTCGTGCGTCGATATCCTTGGGTAGGAATTTCATATGCGTAGTTTATGACATTATATTATATATATATATATTGTATATTATATATCGCATTAACATTAAATATTACGTACGTATCGGCGATTCGATTCTCGACGAGCGTCTGGCGAATCGGCGCGCGGCTCGTCGTCGACGCAGTCGCGCAGCACCTCGACTCCGTCCGTCCCGGGACTCGAGTCGAGCGATCTCTTCTCTTCAATAATGATAAAGACGAGAGTTTGGAAGAAAAAAAAAGAAAAAAAATGGAAAAGAATATATAATTGTCAACGATGTTCCCGACGCAACACATTTTGACGCACGCCGCGCAACGATTCGCGACGATTTGGAGAGTCTCGCACGTTGTGATCGAGCCTGGTCGCTCGATGTGAAGAATACAACCCGCAAGAGGATACGTATGATAAATTAAAAAAGATATATATATATATAAATATATATATACACACACACCTAGTTGGTAAAACTGATACTCCGTTGGTTGTGATTTACAAGTATAGCAATACAGATATACATATACTCATTTCTGCGCGCGATAATGCATCGCCGGCGGAGCTTTCCTCCCTCCCTCTTCCCCACCCAACCTCCAACCCCGAGTTCAGAGTTACTTCTTTCAATGCGAACTTCTTCCGTATCTGTAAATCAAGAGATAGTTCTTCGAGGAGAGAGACTCATGGAGGAGAGAATTCTTCTTCTCGGTCTCTCGTCCGACGGATTTCCGCGCGAACGAATACGAGCGGAATGCGTAAAAAGCCGAGGAGTCATCTGAATGACAATTTATCTCGCATCAATAGTGAACTTTTAATATCGCCGGTATACACCCGAGATATCGTGTCAAGGTCCTCCGAGTCGCATTATCCCTCCGCGCTGCGTATATCCTGCGTGCGGAAAAATGTGGGTGTGCTTTATAAGACGCGCGCGTATGTGCGTTCGCAAAAGAGAATCATGTTTTATCGCGGAGCGCGAAGCTCTGAGGGTGAACGAAATATTTTCAAATTCAAGCGAAAATAGGAAAGAGATATCGGTTACGATATAGCCTAGGATTGTGCGGATATCGGCAGAAAGGGGGGAGGGGGGGGGGGGGAAGACAAATAAACNACGCGCGTTCGACATCACAAACGGTGCATTCGTCGTTTCAATATTGGACCGCGCTTAATGAAATTTTATGTCAATAGAATCGCCGCAATCGCCGGTCCGGCCGTTATCGTTTTCATAAGTAGCTGATTCAACAATGTGCGTACACGGATTCTACATCCGCCGGATGTATCCGCGAAACCGGACATTCTCAGGCAACATTTTCCACGCGAGAAAATGAAAGACTGCAGCTGTTGTAAACGACAGAGAGAGAGAGAGAGAGAGAGAATACTGTGTGTAATTGAAATAAGATATTAAATTCGCGTCATGCCTCGGTAAAATGTGCGAGTACCTAAAACTCTTTCTATCTATCTAGTTTCTACGCGGCTAACGTAGCTAACGTAGCTAACTCTCTCTCTCTCTCTCTCTCCCTCTCTCTCTCTCGCGCACGCGCGCGCTACGAGTACGAATATAAAATTTTGAATCTTTCCAGAATCATGTTTGCGAAAAACTCTCTTTCATTTTTTCTATGTTACAGCACTTACTCCTCAGATTTGTATGCGCGTTTCGCATGTATTCGTCGTTCCGGCTACGAGTACTTCCGTGTAAAACGGGCGCAATATTTATTTTATCCGTGTCGCGATCTTTCGTTTACAAAAAGGAAATAAACAGACACGGAAGATGTCGCGTGTGTATATATTTGGAATGTGTGTGTATATGTGTGCATGTGTCGCGTGAAGCACAGAGGAAATTTTGCGATGTAACATTCTCGCGTCTGGGAAAAATTTCGAAAGAAGTTATCTCGCGCACGGAAATCCGGGAGGAGATCTCCGCTCGCGCCTTCGGCAGCGCAGACCGGACGAGCATTCATGTGAGAGCCTGCCGCTTGAATGTGTGTGTATAAAATCAGTTAATGAATACAAGACGGACATTTTGATGTGTACGTGTATGCGAAGTAGGTGGTGAACCTGCGTATGTGCGTGTGTGTACGTTGCGATATGAAATGAGTGAGTCGAATCGATGGACGATTATGTATTCACTGCGATGAGTGTTATAACAAGAATTAACTTCGACCGACGAAAACCGCAACAGACGCACGAAATACTGAATTCTCTGCGCTGGAACTCAATATAGTCGCTCTCAGATAAAATTTAGTAAAAAATTTCGTGCTAAAACGGTTTACTGAAATTTTCTTTTATTTTAACAAGATTCAATATGTTAAAAAGTAATACGTTAACGAGGCGAATATGCTGATTAAACATTATATTTCTGTACTTTTTAACATATTCCCCATGTTAAGGTAATGCAAAAATTTCAGTGGGCCGTTTGCAACACCAAATTTTTTACTGTGCGCGCACGTAACAGCGAGTTACGGGTGGTCGATCCCGGTCGATTATGAATCAGTCATATGTGGAAAATTTCCAGCCGTACGCGGGAAAGTTCTGTGCGCAATCGATCCGATAATCATGTTCTGTTTGTTTTCTTGAAATTATAATCTTCGTTACGCAATCTTTGCTATCTGTACACATCAATCGCACAACACACATGCGTTTAATTTCGTTATTTACATCGAAAGGAGATACCGTGCGCGATCCACCGGGAGATAATGTACGGTAACTAATGATAACAAAACGATGGAACAAAAAGATGTTGCATAATATTGCCGATTTCACGCAATAATCATTGTGAGATTTATCCGGGATTTTGTGCGCCTGCCTGTGTGCGATCGGATAGGGGGAGAGAAATAAAAAAAAAATATATATATATATACACACATGAGAGAGTACATCTGGTGTAATTTATTGTTAATTTGCGAATTCCCAGTTTGTTTTCGACTGGCTTGTCCAGTGTCACATTTTATTTATTTCACCTCAACGAGTCGTAAACAACCGTAGAGGTATGCGAGAAATAAAGCGCGATTCCGTCGTGGAATTTAATTCATATTTGCGTATAATGCGGATCTAAAGGCTGACAATTCGGTGACATTCGCGTCTTTCTTTTCTGTTCTCCCCCCCCCCCCCCCCC